CCTTGTTGGAAGGTTTGTTGTTAGGGTTAAAGATAACATTTGGTCCTGAATAAAGAGCAGGTTCCATTCAGCTATGGAATATGCCCCCCTGACAGCCTAAAAAACAAATCTTGCCCAGTCCTTGCATTTTGAAACAACTAGTATTTTGTCATTTGCAAGGTGTGTGTAAAGGGACCATATTCCAAATTCATTAGCAGTTTCTATTTACTTTTTTCTTTTCTTTCTTTCTTTCTTTTTTGAGACCAAGCCTCAAGCTATCCCCCTGGGTAGAGTGCCATGGCATCACAGCTCACAGCAACCTCCCATTCCTGGGCTCAAGCGAGTCTTCTGCCTCAGCCTCCCAAGTAGCTGAGACCATAGGCACCCACCACAACGCCCAGCTATTTTTTGGTTGCAGGCGTCATTGTTGTTTGGTGGGCCCAGGCTAGATTTGAACCCGCCACCATAAGTGTATGTGGCTGGTGCCTTAGCCACAGGCACCGAGCCCTATTTACTTTTTTCATTGAAAGCTTGCTGCACACAATTCTCTTGGGAAGAAACCAGTTCCTAGCCCTATTAGTGTGGGTGAACAGGAGGTCATGACTGGTCTAGACATCCCAGCAAGGCTCTGAAGACCTGGGAGCTTGCAAGTAGCCTGACCTCTTCCCCTTGCACCCGGCCAAGAGAAATGCACTTTTGCTTCAACAGAAAAGGTTTATGAAAGAGCTTGAATGTTTGCTTAAATATTGTGAATGCTTTTATTCTAGACACACAACCAATGTTTAGCTAGACACTAAATACCCACTCTAAGGCGAGTTTTTGTGGAGGTGCCAAGAGCACTGAGAATTAGGCCCGGAGACAAGCTGTGCCTTTTAGGTAGACTGGGGAGGGTGTGTGTGGAAGGGTCTTTGCCAAACTTGATTTTATTGAGGACAAGTCTTGAAGCTGCTTTCACAACAGTCCAAACTATTGGCACTAAACATTCTGAAAAACTTTGGGTTTTGAATTTCTGCTGAGCCTGAATTTTCACAAGCTTGGTAGAGTCACTGCGTTCTTGGATCCCAGGCCTGGTTCCATATTTCAGTGTCCTAACCAGCCACTCAGTATGTGGAGAGATTCCAGAAATTCTTCTGTGCTTTTAATAGCTTGGATTCTGAAGGGAGGAAATGGGAAATTGGAGGACAGTTTACACTACCCGTTTATAAGACAGATTAAATAATACTGATGTTCAATCTGTCAGAAAGTTTGGACAACTTACAAGGAACCTACTCTGAGATCACAGGTGAGCTTCCCTCCCTTTCTCATGGAGAGGGACGACTGTGTGTAGCTGAGTTTTCTGTCTCCCTTCCGTCCTGGAGTCTTGTCCAGTGCTCAGAATTACAGGCTCATCCTCATTCCTGAGGGGCCTGCCCAGTTGTTGACATCTTGACTCATTCACCATTGAGGATTCCAAGTTCAACACAGCCTTTCTCAACCCTCGGTGAACTTCATGGGCAGTCAGACCATGTGTGGGGAAGGTGGTCAGCAGGAAAACGTCCTGAGAGCTCAAAAATGTTGATCAGTCACCAGCGTGAGTTTCCCATCCACTAGGAAGGCTTCCAGGTGTTGTTCCTTCAGACTCTCTTGGTCCTAATGCTGTGTCTGGAATCCCAGCATCGGTTCCAGTCTAGAGAACACAAGGGTGGGACCCCTCAGAGGCACCCCCCATTCTGTAGGAAGTGACAAGGAGCCTCACTCAAAAACCCACATTGGGAAACTGGCCCTGGCGAGGAATTTCCTGAAGGTGTAGTTTCCTTCTCATTAAATAAAGAGATTTTTAAAAGTTGGTTATCTGAATAACTGGCAGCAGAATTCTTCTCAAGGAGGAAATTGCCACAGTTTTCAGAAGACGCCTGCAGGAAAAGATCCTCAGAGTCTGAGCACCGAGGGCTCCTCCAACCTGGGGGGCTGTGTAGAGGGGAGCAACGCTTTGTCTGAGACAAGAGAAGGAGGAAGAGATGGGCCAGGGAGGAGAAGGGCAGGCCGGGGTGGAGGAAGGCCAGTTGTGGGCGTGGGGCTGGGACCGGAGGTGAAAGGACTGCTAACCGCGGCTGGGGCCCCTTCCCTGTCCCACTGCTCTTCTCCTTCTCTGGCGCCTCTAACTGCCAGTCTTCAGGAGGGCCTGTCCCCTGACAGGGGGACAGTCAGATTGTGGTGGCGTGTGTGCACACGTGTGCCCACTTATGTGTCTGTATCCATGTGTGCTTGTGCGTGCATGCATGTTCACACGTGCCTGTGTATTACATACTCGTGTGTGCTCGGGCTCACACATGTATGGCTCTCCATGTGTGGGTGTGTGGTTAGTGCACCATGCTCAGCTGTGCATGTGTATTCATGTGTGTAAGGCAGTAGGGGCTGTGTGGGTCCACACAGATCAGGACATAGACCAGCACATACTGGGGGACACATGCCCCCCCCCCCCAGCACTTGGACTATGAGGCTGTAGCCTCAGGAACCATCAGAAGTAATGGCAAGGGCTTGCAGAGACCTCTGCTTTACTTGGAGACTGAATCCTATGTTAATCTCACCCCAAACACCCTCACAGGCCAGGCACCATGGCTCATAGCTGTAATCCCAGCACTTGAGGAGGCTGAGGCAGATGAATTGCCTGAGCTCAGAAGTTGGAGACCAACCTGAGCAACAGCAAGACCTTGTCTCTACTAAAAATAGGAAAACTAGCCAGGTGTTGTGGCAGGCACCTGTAGTCCTAGGTACTTGGGAGGCTGAGGTAGGAGGATCACCTGAGCCCAAAAATTTGAGGTCGCTGTGAGCTATGATGCCACTGCACTTTACCGGGCTGACAATGAGACTCTATCTCAGGGAAAAACAAAACAAAACAAACCCTCAGAGACAAGGTGTCACATCCAGACCACTGTTACCTGTAGACCTGCCAAGCTGACGTGACATTACCCATAACACCTGCAGAGTAGTCCTCAGAGGTCTAGGCTCAAGGCAGTGACCCTCTGACTGACTGCTAAGGAAATGCCTGCATTTTATAAGTGACCTCTGCTCTGTTTATCTTGTCATTAAAACATAGCTCATTATCAACTGTGACTCCAGCTGGACTAAAGAACTAAAAAGTGATGGTAAAACCGCAAATTCCATAGAAGAAAATACAGGATGCTATCTTTGGTCCTAGGGGTGGGGAAAAAATTAATGAACAAAAATGTAAAAGCATGTAAGCAAAAATGTCAGTAAATTGTTGTTGCTCATGAGGACTCCACAGATAAAATGAGAGAAAGATGACAGATTCGGAGCAGGTGTCAGGCAGCAGAAAGATCAGTCCCAAACTGAAACCAAGGAGGACTGTCTGAGAAACCCCTACACTGAGCGTGCTGTCCTCACCATCTTAGAAAGTGAAGTTGAGAAATTTCAAAACATTTATTAATTCATGTAAAAGAACAATAATGAATTTATTACCTGTTGATATAAATAACATATTTTTTATTTTAACAACCCCTGCATTTTTAAAGACAAATAGTCTGATAAGAACAGAAGCATAGTTTTATATTTTGTCAACTCTCTTTTAATGGCCATTTTAATGTTTAATGGTTGATGGTTGCATCTGACATCTGCCTCTGTTCAGCGTTGCAAGATCATGCGTCGCAAAGCTCCGGGAAAACTCCACTGTCCACTGAGAGAGCAAGAGCGGAAACGGCAAATAAGGTCCCAGTGTTATCAAAATAGCTCTGACCTCACGGAGTTCCGGAGGGTTCTGGGGACACTGAGGGGTCCCTGGCCTGACCACACTTCAGGACCTAGGGGCATTTGCCTTTCTGAAGATTTGATGTAGCACCTGGATTCTAGGAGCCATCCAGAGCTTGATTCTAGAACCACACATCTAGTGTTCTGGGGTTTAGGGCTGAAGTCTGGCTGAGATCTTAGGGCATTAGCCTAGAAACGGGGGGTTGGGGGCAGGGGAAACTGAGGTGGGCTGCTCAATGGCACATTATTTTAGTGTTTATTTGTATCTTTTTATTGCTCCTTTCCCTGACTACAGGAAGCAGGCGACAGCTGGCTCATTGATTTTACTGATTGCTTAATGAGTGCATCCTATGGGATAGGTGTTTTACTAGATAATTTCTCTTGCTAAAATTAGCTTATCCTTTGCAAGTTGCTACCTCTTAATATAACAAAGAGTTTAGAGTCAAAAGAGTAAAATGTTAATGGGAATTTGAAGATGCTGGTGAGCCCTTAAATTGTCCTGATAGATGTGATCTATCTTTCTTGTAATCTGTGGTACCCAACCACTTTTTTATAATGGGGAGAATTTCTAGCTTTCTAAGTTTATGTGGAGTAAAACAATGTACGCTACCTGTTGGAAACCTGCTTTTCACAGTCGAGACACCCTCCTTGAGGACCCCTGGGATTATGTGTGATTCATTCATGGTTTTGGTGGCCTTATCAGGCACTGTGCTTGGTGCTACTGAGCAGGTATCATTTGAAAAGTGCATTTGGAATAATAAAGTAGGAAGAAGCAGTTACCCAACTTGAAGACTTACTGTGCAGCTATAGGGATCAAACTGCACAGTCCTGGTGGGGTGTAGATCACAGAGAGGTCAGTGGGGCAGAAGGGAAACCAGATAGAGGCACGCAAATGCAGCCGGCTGATTTTTGACAAAGGTTCAAAGAGCCTTTTGCTGGAAGGATAGGCTTTCCAACAAATGCTCACGATGAAATTAAACATCAAAAAAAAAAAAAATTAACCTACCTCGCAAACCTAGTGCAAAAATTAACTCAAAGTGGATAATATGGATAACAGATAATGTAGAATAGAAAACTCTAAAACTTTTAGAAAAAGAAAACAGAATAAATGCTCAAGGTACTGGTCTCAGGTTTGCAAGGTGCTGGCAAAAAGTTCTTTTTATTCCCAGCTTTATGGCAGTATAATTGAAAAAATTGTACATATTAATGAAATGAAAAGTGTATTTGTGTAATTTTGCAATTGCAAAGTGTTGACAACAACATACTTGTCCTCTCAGAGGTGACTGTTAAGGATATCATGGGGCCTCCCTGCAATGGAATAATTGTGCTGAAACAAGCAGGCAGTGTGTGGCGTTGACGGCCAGTGAGGAAAGCGTACCGAGAAGTGGTGTTAAATCAAAAAGGAAGGTACGGAGCAGGCCCACAGCATGCTATGCTTTGTGTAAAAAGGGACAGTGGTGGTGAGAGGCTGTACGTGCCCAAATTGCCTAATAATCTTTGAAGAACATAAAGCCACGTGCTGACAGTGGACAGCGATGGGCCGTGAAGCCACTTGCTGACAGTGGACAGCGATGGGCCGTGAAGCCACGTGCTGACAGTGGACAGCGATGGGCCGTGAAGCCCTGAGCTGACAGTGGGCAGTGATGGGCTGTGAAGCCCTGTGCTGACAGTGGGCAG